TTGGAATGCCTTTTCCATATTCTATTAATACTGATCCACCCTACCACCTGCCCCACAGTTCAGCATCTATCATGTCTGCTTGGTCAAACACTCTCATCTTTCAAGACCTCCCTCAGATGTAAGTTCCTCCATGACAATTTTCTTGACCACCACATTCCCCCATCTTGAAGCCAAAGCTTCAGGAACTGATTATATATGAAAATAATATCATTGTGAAAATTAAAAGTAATGTAGATAAACCAAAAGGCTCTCTTGATTCACCTCTCCTATTCTTATTCCTCATCTTGTTATCAGTCTACTGGGAATCAGTCCAGACTGTTTCACTAACAATTTATCTTGAAAATATTTCCATGTGAGTTTATGTGTATGGGTCCATCTCCACAGAGAGTATAACTGCTGCAGAATATGGGTATAATACAGTTTAGTTAGCCCCTGCTATTGATGGGTATTCCCCCTCTCCGCCAGTATTTTGTAATAACTGTGTCACAATGAATACTATTTTGTACAGTTCCTCATGCATAAATGCCAAGTATTTCTTTTCTACAGGGAAGCATAAAACTAGAAGTCTGGATAGAAGGAATCATACTTGATTCTACATATTCTTGACATATTTTTGTGTTCAGAAGTTTTTTTTTTTCTTCTCGTGCATCAGTAAGAGTTCTTTGTATAATTTGAAGGATAAACCTTAGTCACACAAACAAAAAGTATATGTGTATTTTTCTCTGCTTCATTTAAAAATTTTGCTTGTTGTGTTTTTAATTATAAAAAATTTTACATTTTTGTGGAGTCAAATGTGTCATTCTCTTTTTTGGTTTGTATCTTTCTCAGGAAGACCATCTGTATGCATATCCATATTTTATTTTATATTTTTGTTATCCTGCAGGTTTACTTTTTCCATTTAACTCTTAAAGTTACTTGGAATTTAATTTTGTGTATGTTGAGAGTATTACCTAATTTTCTTTCTTTTTCCATATTGAATGTCAAATTGGTCCATACTGTTTATTGGATAATAGTCTATTCATCCATTCTCCCAAGTTGAAATGACATTTTTTATGAACTAAGTTTCTAAATGTAAGTCATGAATTTGTTTCTGTCCTTTGTAGTAGGTTTTCTTGTTCTCTTTGTTTATTTCTGAGCCAAAACCAGTGTTTTTGTTACTATACTTTTATCATATGTCTAGATACCATATAGTGTCTGTCTTCTTCTAGATATCTGATGAGACTGAGTCACATATCTTTGAATTTTAAAGACCTTTTATATAGTTTGCATCCATATGTGTTGAATGATGCAAATGACTAAATCAGAAGCTCTTGGTACTATTGATGCTATATTTGGTATTCCCAAGGTCTCAAAGACTGTGTTGTAAAATAGCTTTTCCAGTCCTTACTTCCTATTTTAGCTCAGCACCTCAATGTGTTATTTCATAGGAATTTTCTTCTTCTCATTATTATTTTGAATAAATAATGCATCTACAGTGTACAAAACCCAAAAGATACAAAAGTGTTAGGTCTCTCGTCAATTCTTAAGAGCCAGTCATACTACCAGTTTCTTCTTTAACCTTCTAGAATGGCAGCATACCATCTGCCCTGCACCTTGGTTTTTTTGTTTGGCAATATATTTTGGAGATCATTCCATATCAGTACATATGATGCTGTTTCATGAGATGCATGTTGCATGTTTTATTTAACCAGGGTAGCAATTCATTTGTTTTAATTTAATAAATATTCTTTGTATGTATGAAATCCTCAAATATCTGGAATCAAAATTTTGCCCATAAAACTGGTGGGTCAAAGGGTATTCGAATTCTCAGCTTTGACTTATACCATTAAGTTGTCCTCCAAGAAGTTTCTAGAAACTTTACGAATGAAGACCATGACAGCATTTGCCACTGGGCTTCAAACTTGTTCAGACTTGTGCTGAGTACCAGGCAGAAAACTACAGAGGTGTTAGCTGGGACCCTGACAGTGAGAGCTACTGTGTGTGTGTGTGTGTGTGTGTATGTCCGTGCACCTGCATGTGTGTATATGTGTGATATATATATGGTAAGAAGTTCAAAGAAGAACCATAAGCCAATTAATTAGGGTGCTTTTTAAAGCTCTAATAATGAATGCAAGCATTAGTGGTTTGAATAAAGCTCCTTTGCCTTTATTATTCATTAGAAACTGGCAGTAAATAATAGGCTTGAATTGCATAGTCCTGATGCTGCTAATCAAAGCACAGAGCATTTAAGATCATAAATTATTATTATTCACAACAGGAGCAAAAAGGGAATTTGGGGTTTATGAATTGCTAACTGGTTCACCAGTTAGCCTCTGTTCTGGTCTTGGGCTGACTCAGAGGGAAAGAGACTGTTTATTACATCTTGAAGCTGGAACTCTGTCTTATTGGGTGGGACACAATTTCCTCAAACGCCCAATATCATACTTAGCTGGAGACACTGGGATAAGTGGTCCAACCCAGATTAAGAAGCCCTCAATCTTCTTGTGGGGCTTCCCAGGTGGTGCAGTGGTAAAGAATCCGCCTGCTAATGCAAGAGACACAGGTTTGATCCCTGGGTTGGGAAGATACCCTGGAGAAGGAAATAACCCACTCCAGTATTCTTGCCTGGGAAATTCCATGGTCAGAGGAGCCTGGTGGGGCTACAGTCCATGGGGTTGCAAAGAGTCAGACATGGCTGAGCACACATGCACAATCTCCTGTGGGTAATGGTTCAGGATGTGCAGCTGGAAAAAAGATTCTTTTTCCAAGCAGAAGAGAGCTTTGCCTGTGGCCAGGAGGCTATTTTTGCTCTGCCATCTTAGCAAGTTGGTGCTGGGTTAGACCGTGTACCTTTCCTTCTTCACCAACCCTCATTTCCATTCAGCATGTCATATTTCTCTCCTTTCTCTCCACTTCTGCCCCCACTCACATTTGTCTGCTTTGGGGGGATCTTCTCTTTCCTTGGTGTGTCTTTTTCCATGCAAAGGGAAAGAAACAAAACATGAGTTCTTGTCCCTTCCTTTCACATGATAAAGGCAGAAGTTAAGAGGAACATTTCTCTTTTTCCCTTCCTTTGGTCCTTTTCCTCTAGTCCCTTCTCCCCTATTTTTGAAGCTCTTTTTGGTTTCTGGTCCCCTGCCCTGTGAAAGGAGGAGTTTCTCCCCTCTGCCTGACTCCACCTTCCCTTCTCATATCCTCCCAGCTCCATGCTCTCTGCACGCATCATTGACTCGGCCAGAAACGCCAATGACTTCCTGGCCAGAGGATGCCTGCATCTCCCTTACATCACCTTTCAGTGCCCACTTCAGCTGACACTTCAAGAGTAAGGGCTTAGCACTGCCAGTTAGCAAGACAGTAGATGGTGCTTTAGTCACTAAGTCGTGTCCGGCTCTTGCGACCCCATGAACTGTAATCTGCCAAGCTCCTCTGTCCATGGGGATTCTCCAGGTAAGAATACTAGAGTGGATTGCCATTTCTTTCTCCAGGGGATCTTCACTGGAGATTCGGGAATCAAACCTGGGTGTCCTATATCGCAGTCAGTAAACTGAGCTAGGGAAGCCCTAGGACCGTAAAGGACGTATTAAAATAATGTACTAGCGAACACAATCGTACTTTATAACAAAGTTTTATTAGGATTAAGTCAAATTAGAAAACTTCATGCTCTGCTGCTTGCCATATTTATCTGGAATGACCAGGATATACTTAGCTGAGTAGAAAATAATTTGTGCCCCTGGATTCTACCGTTTGGAAAGCAAGAGGATTGCTGTGCATAGCGGCGTGCCCGGCACCTCCATGGTTCGTGTCGAAAGCCTGAAGACTCGTCAGCAAAGCATGTGTTACTTTCAAGCTTTGGGCCCCAGGGAGACGCTCATCCTCAGATGCAGACTCTTCAGAACCTGCTTACCTATGACTTGGGCTGCCCTTTTCGGGCTGACCTTTTTGGGGTCTGATATGAACATCTGTTATTTCAAGAGAAGCTGGGTTTGAGGTATCTTAATGGCTTAAAGGCACAGGTCGTGCAGCTGAATCAAAAGCTGTTGTGTTGGTCTCTCCGCCTCAGGTCACAAGCCACGTCTTGTGAGGAGGGTGCTGATGCTGCGTCCTTGGCGCTGCATGGGGGCTCTGCGCATGCACAGTCCTGCTCTTCTTGTGCACCGCGCCGCTGTTGACAGGTGAGAGCTGTAACTGGAGAGGAGCCTGGGCGATGGCATCTCATCGCCCCACAGACAGAAGGACCTGCCACAGAGCCAGGAAGTGACTTGAATGCAAGCAAGGATAGGAAAGTTGAAACCTGGTGCGGGGAAGAGAACCCCACTGTCCCTGGAAGGGGTCCCGCCCAGGTGGAAAGCGGCACTGCGTTTAATGCGGAGTGCTTCCCAGCTGTCAGGAACCCCTCCAAGCAGTGGGAGGAGCCGCTTGAAGAGGATGCCCAGAAGGATAGGGGTCCCCACGCACCAAGGCCATCAGCAGTGGTATGGAGCACTTATCTGGACAAATAGCCCTGGATCACTAGGAGCGAGTGGGACCCTAGGTTTTAAACATGTAAAATGTGTCACTTCCTGAATAAATGGGTATTCCCTTCAGTTTAGGAGCCACGCATTTAAGCTCAGAAACTCTTTTTAAACAGAGTTTTAAAACTCTCCCAAATGAGGGAATAGAATTTCAAATCTGAGGGAAGGGTCAGGAGAGCTGTATACAGAAAAGAAACACCTTGTAGACACAAGAACAACTGTTTCATCCTCCCAGCAACTAGATGCCTGTCTCCTATCCCCACACCCTTCCCACCCTACCCAATTCATTAATAAAAATGGCACTGTCCAAAACTCAAATCAGTTGCCTAATACAGAGGGATGATAATAAATTCTCATTTCTGTGGGCACCAGAGGATGTATGTTTTGAATCTCTCGTTTCTGCTCTTCATACACTTTCCAGCCTCTTTCCATGCCCTCAGCCTCATCAGCTTTGCTTGTATTCCTCAGTGAGCCCTGCATGACCTGTGATGTCTGAGCTGTTCACGCCCATCAATTCAGCTGGGATTGACTAAGAGTTTTCTCGAGCTTGAGTTCATAGCTTCCCAGGCCAAGGTCCCCCTCGTAAATGTTTTCCTTGCTTGGAGTGTGGGGTGAAGCTTTCTGGTCCTCCCCAGGAGGGCTGCAGGGTGAGGTGCCTTGCTCCTGGTAATTCATGGCAAGCTCGTCCTGGTTTACGATGCATTCAACATCATCCTCTTTGAGATGTTCCTAGATTTTGAAGAGAAAGAGAGAGAGTTCACTTGATAAAAGCAGAAGACAATAGCAGTCCTGCAGTATAGGAGAACAGGATATTCATTTTACTTTTTACACTGCCCTGTCTTAACTTGGCTGAAGTTTCTGGTATGCCACATGTAACTTTTTCCATGTCTGCAGGAGTTGTGAAACATTTCTAAGATGACCTTGAAGATGGACAACATCACACAATCATAAGAAGTCTAAGTCTCATCAGTAAGAGAATGTGTGCCAATTGAGCAGGTCTGTGGGTTAGGGGAGTTAAAATGCTATGGATGTTTTGAATGGGTATCTAACCTGGATGAGAGGAGTTTTTAGAATTATTTGACTCTGAAGTACAGAATGATTCCCAATATTGGTTTTGGAATGCACCAGTATTGGTTTTAATATTTTAACTCAATGTCTGCTATATTTTCTTTGAAAAGTTTCAAATGGGATGAGTGTCCCAAGGATAAAAGTGGTTGGAAGTTTCCATGGTGGGTAATGGTGGAAACCAACTAGATCTGGCCAATAAAGTTGTCCTCCCCTTGAAGAAAAGGAATTAAAATCTCAAGTTTTCTTTCATTGGCTTTGGGAAGACCTCACAGAATTCTCTATAGAATGAGCCCTGGTTAGGTGACCTTAGGTCAGTCATTTCAAACTTTAGCCTGTACTAGAATCACTCCTTAAAGCACAGATACTGGGTTCCTGAGGCCAGAATTCTGAGGTGGGGCCTGAGAATCTTTGTTTAAAACAAGTTTCCAAGTAAGGCTGAAACTGCTGGTCTGAGGACACACTTTGAGAATTGCCGGCTCAGGCTGTTGCGTTTTGAGCACATCTGAGATCTGAGATGACTTTTTCTCTGTTTAGACATGGGGTCGGCCACCTCCAAGGGTACCACAAACTCTAAGATTCTGCTCCTCTCCCATCTCTGACCCTCTGATTTACTGGGAGGTAGTCTAATTGCTTCTCAGCAGTTTTTTTTATTCCACTCCCTTCAGCTATAAGGAACCTGGCCTAATATTCAAAACTTTAAAACATAGCAGTTTGTGAGGACACATTACTTCTTTTATATTTTTCTAAATTCATCTTTGGATAAAAATATTGGTGACAATAAAAAATTGCATTTTTAAAAAGGAGAATGAGCTCACATCAGCAACAATGGAAAAGAGAGAAGCTTCTTGGTGCAGTGAATTTTAAGAACTGTTTGCTTCCTCCTCAAGACAGAAGAAGTAGCCCCAAGGTTCCGGGTTTAATCAGTATTCACCAAGCCTGTCCCTCACGAGATGTTTACTCACCCCATAGGCCTGAGGACTGGTGAGCAATCGGGAAATTGGGCCACACCATTCAGGTAACGTCGTGGTCAGTGGAGGACCAGAGTGGGTTAGAATTGGTTTCAGGTATCTGTGAGGCCTGTTAAGGAATACTTGCCAAGAGGAAGTCAGGATGGAGTTTCTCACATAGCACAAACCTTTGCATGCAGTGAAAGATAGTTATTTTTACCTTCAAATCCCCTACTCCCTTATTGAGGAAGTAATGTGGCCTGCACAAGTTTGCTATTTATATTCTTTGATCCCCACACTTTCCCGGCCCTCCTGATAGTCTTTAATCATGGGGAAACAGCACCTGGACCAGCCAACGTCAGAGAGGTGTAAATGGTCCTCTTCTCCTCGCCTCTCCCACTCAACGTCTCCTCTGCTTAGAGAACGTATTCTTAAGAATTCTTGAAGAGAATTGGGAGAAGGTGAGGGTAGGATGTTTCGAGAGAACAGCATGTATATTATCTATAGTGGAACAGATCACCAGTCCAGGTGGGATGCATGAGACAAGTGCTCGGGCCTGGTGCACTGGGAAGACCCAGAGGAATTGGGTGGAGAGGGAGGTGGGAGGGGGGGATCGGGATGGGGAACACATGTTAACTCCATGGCTGATTCATGTCAATGTATGACAAAACCCACTGCAATGCTGTGAAGTAATTAGCCTCCAACTAATAAAAAATGAAAAAAAAAAGACTTATTTGAAATAATAGCTTAAAAGATTGTGTTTTCCTAAAACTGCACACACAACTTAAACCACTGGTAATTTTCACACAAAATAGCAAGAGGTATTTCATAAAACGTCCCCTCATTCGAGAACTGGGCAGTGAACACAGATTGTTTGCCAAAATAGTTTTATTTTCACTATTCAACACAGTCACTTTATACTTCATACATCAATGCATTGCCATACAAAATTATGTAAATAAGCTGGAGCTAGGTTTATTCTACTGTCTAACACCTGTCTTTCTCTTCTGTTCGTCCCAAAGTGCTCTAACGAGTTAAAAGGAAAACCTGTTTATCTAAAGCCTTTAGGTTTCCCTCCAATCTAGCAATAATGAAATCCCTAGAGGCTGCCACCTCAGGTTGACTTTTTTTTTTCCTCCCAGAAAGGTAGTGAAATTATTTCACCATTCCATCAGAAACAACTTTCAAGCTTTGTATTATTTCCTCTGCTGGAGAATAGTTCACTTTGTCAACTTTCTGAAATGCTATAATAAATAGGGAGAGGGGAAAAAAATGGAAAGCATTTAATGTTGGCTCATGGATGCGCAATCACCCCCAGGCACTCAAGAGAAGATCTTGGTGGAGGCTCTACTGGAGCCAGTCCACAGTGGATGACACCACTCCGTCATTCCAGGATGCCCTGAGTGTGTGGGACAGAGGGGCATGCAGCTGGCAGGGGCCAGGAATCTGCTGGCCTCTGACTTTGAATCATTTACCCCCACAGTGGGGACAAAGCAGGAGAGGCTCATGAACACAGCCTAGTTATGATGCGAGGAGAGCGATTGAAGAGATACTTAAGAGGATCTGTGATTGCAACTGTGAGTGGAAAACTTGTCGACTCCTTTCAGATGTGCAGCTGTTGTGCTCAGTTAAGGATGGGGAAGATATTAACGTTAAGAGCCTGGCATTGCCTGTGACATCTTGCAAGTCTATCTACAACTCTGGAAAGCTCTTGATGATCTTCCATTAATTTTTATTACAGAGTGTTATTTCCTTCATTTTATGGATGAAGGCATTGAGGCCTAAATACACGATGATTTTAAGTAATCCAGAGGCTCCCTTTGCTGTCTGAATCCACAACCATCATATGTTAGCAGAAGGGAATTTCTCAGGGTGGAATTGAGTATGTGACCAGTTGGTTCTTTGAGAAGAAAAGCTCGCAGACCACACCCCTGCTGGTGGGCTGTGGACCCGCTCAGGCAGGAGCATGTGTTCTGATAGGCTTTATGGTGTGCCTAGGTCAGGGGAAAAACTTTTTTTTTAATAGGGAGCTGAGATGGAAGAGATATATATATATATATATTCACACACACATATATAACTGGAGTATAAATCAAAGAAAATTCAGCCAATTTTATTTCCAAATGGAAAAGTGACAGATTCCCAGGTGGCACTAGTAGTAAATAACCCACCTGCCAATGCAGGAGACACAAGAGATGCAGGTTTAATCCCTGGGCCAGGAAGATCCCCTGGATAAGGAAATGACAACCCATTCCAGTATTCTTGCCCAGAGAATCCCATGGGCAGAGGAGCCTGGGGTTCTACAGAAGAGCTACAGTCCATGGGGTCGCAAGAGTTGGACTTGCTAAAGTGACTTAGCAAGCACAACACATAAATCAAAGAAAATCCAGCCAATTTTATTTCCAGATGGAAAAGTGACAGCAAATAAGCAACGTTTTTAGTGATGTTGTATAAGTAAAAATGGGGTTTGTCAAGGTTCTAAGTTTAGGAGAGGCATGGGCAACTTCCATTGTTTGAAATTCTCAATACACTGAAAAATCAAAATGCCAAAACCATGTCACAAAAGGAAAACACAAATTTAAAACTGCACGGTGAACATTTTCTTCTTTTCATCCCGATGTTGTTGCTCAGTGGCTCAGTCATGTCCAACTCTTTGCAACCCCATGGACTGTGGCATGCCAGGCTTCCTCATTCTTCACTATCTCCCATTTGTTCAAACTCACGTCCATTGAGTCGGTGATGCCATCCCACCACCTCTGGATCCTCTGTCGCCCCCTTCTCCTCTTGCCATCCATGAGGTATCTCTTTAACTCTCTGTGTCTTATTATTGGTGCTAACACTTAATCACTTACTTTGTGGCTTTCTGTGAATGTGAGGCTTGGACCAAATGGGCTACCATTTGGTCCTTCTGGGCAAGCTCTGGGATTCCCAACTCAGAAGACTTGTGTACAACTGGCAACTGCCCCTTCACTGACTCTATGACCTATGGTCTAGCCACTGACCCCTGTGAGCCTCAAGTATTGCTATGAATATTAACTGATGTAATGTGGGAAAATGGTGTTGCACTCTCTCACATGCCATTCAAATGCTATTTTATTAAAAAAAATGATTTCTTAAGTAATACTGTTTGGAGAAAGTGGTGTGTCGATTGTTGTTCACATAACAGAGGAGAAATGATGCTAGGGTAGAGATGAGAGAATGGCACTCAGCACTTGGTGTGGCATCAGAAGTCACAAGCTAGTAGTTAGTGGTTGGAAAATTTAAGCTGCTCCTGCACCAAAAATATCTATTTGGGTTAAATGTTATTGTATGGGGGGCTGGTGTCAGGTGGTAGGTGAGAGGTAGGAGAATTTGTTGTCATAAAACTCTTCTAGGAAACTCAAGATGCCACTCTGGCTGTGTCTCAGTAGCTTCAGGTCAAAGGAATAGCACATACATCCTGTGGCAGTGAATGGAATGTGTAAGCACCATCCACAGACACCATGTGGAGCAGGGTCTATGTTTGCCAACATCTTAGTTTGCCCAGAGTTTGCTATATATATTATGTGCTCGATGGATGTTTATTGAATTTATGGTCTAGGAAAATATTCAGGGGTGCTATGAGTGATGCAGGTAGATTCTGGGTGACTGTGCCAAGGGAAGAATGAAGGGGGCAGATGACAGCCAACAGATGAGGATTTCCTGAGGGTAAAAATGCTGAGGAAGGTCAAGTCAAAACAGACTTCTTGGGACTAAGTTATTAGACAAATGGGACCATGTGGCAATGGCACAAGACAAAGTGGCTAGAAAACAGCTATTGTATCTCACTTGCTCGATCATTTATTTGTTCCTTCATAGACTCACGTATTTTTATTTTATGTGCAAAACTAGTGAGGTACCCACATAAGAAAATTAACAGTTACAGTCTGGTGGCTCATGTGATAAAGAATCTGCCTACAATGCGGGAGACCCAGGTTCAATCCCTGAGTTGGGAAGATCCCCTGGAGAAGGGAATAGCAACCCACTCCAGTATTCTTGCCTGGAGAATCCCATTGTCAGAGGAGCCTGGTGGGCTACAGTCCACGGGGTTGAAAAGAGTCAGACACGACTGAGCAACTGTCGCTGTATAGAATGCAAAGTGTTTTTGCCATATATTCTTGTCTCTAGGTGGTGGTCATCTTGAGGGTAGGGCTATCCCCTTCATCTGGTACAGTGGTTGATACATTTTAGATGTTCAATAAATAATTATTGAATTAATGAAGACAGTAAGCTCAAAGAGAATAAAAGAATTGCTCAGTGGAATCCAGCCAGTTAGTTATTGGAAGAACTGGCCTTGAGATCCCAGACATTTCCATCACATTGAGCATCTTCCTTCTGTTACAGAGACACTGAGTAACAGGTCTCATCTGATTGGATAACTGATTTGGAATGGGGGAATCAGCGACTTTCTGAGTCCTTCATTGCTGAGCAGGGTCTGGAAAGTGGCTAGACCTCCAGGGTTACTGGAATTATTAAACTAGTAAGAAAACTCTTTTGATCTCCAGAAAACCCCTACTGCCAATTTTGCAAACTGGGTTATTTTTCTTATCAGGTTCTAGTATATGTTTGGAGAGAGAGAGATTCCCCACTGGGTATTTTTGGTACAGCTAGTTTTGCTTTTCTAATAAGTTAGAAATACATCGAGATGAAATGTTAGGCTCTAGGGGGAAAAAAAACAATGACATTTCTCATCTTTAAAGGGCATGAGTTTGGGAATAGCAGTTTGGTTCAGGAGATGTAAGTAAAAGCTGGAGCTCTACTCGGAATTTAACATGTGTGAAATAGGAAAGACAATTAACTTAGGCCAAAAGAGAAAATATATCTGCTATCAGCAGGTCCAGACCTAAATTTAGTGCTTAACTAAACTAACTTCCAAAGCACATGGTGACATTGATTTCTCTCTTCTGTTAGTTTTTGCTTTGATTATTTTTTTAAAATTTTTATTGGAGTATTATTGTTTTACAATGTTCTGTTGGTTTCTGCTGTACAACAAAGTGATGAATCGGCCATATGCATACACATATCTCCTTCTTGAAGCTCTCTCCCCTCCCCCTCACATCCCACCTCTCTCGGTCATCACAGAGCACCAAGTTGAACTCCCTG